ACCAATAAACCAAAAACATAAAGCGGTAATAATAAAACTCTCTGCTGGGACCCCCCCCCAGCCCCCCACACCCATGTGCAGGAGGTAGTGAGGGGAGTTTGAAACAGGAAGGGGAAGAGAAAGCCCCTCACCACACACCAGAGGGGTCAGCCAAGAGCACTTCTCAGGGGTCAGCTAGGGCAGTTACATGGATGGGGGGGCGAGGAAGCTGTCCCCAAGCTCCCCTGGGGTGGGTGCCAAAGCCAGTTGAGCATCCTGGAGAGAGGAGCAGGCAGTGTCCTGGAGCGGGGGACTCGCTCTCCACATCTTCGCCCCATTTCCCTGGACGATCCCTGAACTTTTCAAGAGAAGCTTTGGATTCTGGGCCTTTGGGCCTTGAACATGGGTCCCGGAGACCCCAGGGGCTCAGCACAATTGCTGAATGGAGTTCAGTGATCAGAGCCAGAGGAGAAACCAAAGCCCCGTGGGGCCCAAGCCACTGGAGACAGCCCGAGAGGAGGGGAGATTTCCAGGGGAGGGCAGCCCAGGAGGAGGGTAGGTTTCTGGGGGAACAGAGGGTGCCTCGAGTCTCTAAGCTTTAGTGCCAGGGCCTCGGGGGTAGGAAGGGGGTGTCGGGCCCTGGACCCCTGGCCCAGAACAGAAAAGCAGGAGCAGATCACCATCCCAAGACAGACCCTACAGAGGACCTCTGGAGGCGTGGGGTTCAGCTGGAAGCCGCAGCCCTGCTGCCCGGGCTCAGGCACTTTGCTATCTCGCCCCATCACCTGCGCGGAGAGCCTCTCAGATGGGAGACCGCACCTGGGGGAGGGGCAGACAAAGAGGGGTCAGGCTGGGCCTGTGACCCCTAGGAGCTCATGCCAGTCCAGAGTCACCTGCCGACCACCCATAGGAGGAGCAGGACCCCCTACCCCGAGCAGAGATAACAAAACGTGGCAGGCCGAGGCTTTCTCTCGGGGAGCTCAGCACCAAGAAGCCCACACTTATCCCCCAAAAAGGAGCCAGGGTTTCAACGGAAACACGAGAGGGCCTCAGCAGGGAGGAGGTTCTAAAGGGAAGGGAAAGCGCGAGGGAGAGCTGCAAAGTGGGGAGGCATCATACTGGGATCCAGCCAGCTAGGCCAGCATGTGGTCCGCAGTAGGGAAGGGGGGCCGGAGGCCGTCGCTGTAGGTGTCGATGGGATAGTCCCCGTCCATGTCCATGTGCATCTCCAGGGGGTCCAGGGGCACATCACTCGAGTACATGGGGCGGTAGGTGGCATCCATGTCTGGGAAGGAGAAAGGAGCTCCATCTAAGGGTCTCAGGCTACCCTGTGGGGGGCCTGGACAGACCTCAGCCACACTCCAGGGGGCCTGCCCTCCTCCCCAGACTCCCATGCCAGGGATATGGAGAGGAGTACACGTGAACACTACGGTAGCTGTCCCTGGTCCTTTGGCAATGGGGATACAAAGCCGCTTTGTCTCTCACACCCACACAGCACCCCGCCCCCCGCCCCAGACTCTCTGGGGTCCTGAGGAACTCTGCACACTTACCATCTGCATAGGGTTCATTGATGGGGATCATGCTCTGGGCCTAAGGATGGAGACAAAGAGAAACATTGTGGGAGAGGGGAAGGGTGGAAACGCTGGGCTGGGGGGCACTGAGAAGATGCTTCTATAAAGAGTGCTGGAAAAGCAAAGACCCCTTGAAGGGACAGAGGATGAGATGGGGTCACACAGTGCCTTGATCAATTTCCGTCCTCAGGAACCTCCCCAGGGTCCCACCATTCATGCTTGGGGGCACTCATAGAACTAGAACAGCCCAGGGGAGGGGAGTGGAGGGCAGACAGGACTGGAGAATGGGTACTGGGAGCTGCCCTACCCAGGATCAGGGCAGCCACCAACTTATATAGCACTTTGTGAAAGTAAGAGAAAGGCACCCCTGCCCCAGTACTTTATATTAGTTTGGACAAAATAAAAATGCCATTATGCAGGTCAAAAACAGGTAAGATGGTGTAACCTACAACTTCCATCTGTTGAGAATTGTCATAAATGATTCAATTATAAAATAAAAATCCATGAAGTTGACAGGAGATAGGAGCCCCCTTAAAAGTGCCATCTTTGTGCAGTGTGCAACTTGCACAACCATATACTGCAGCCCAACTCCAGGTACTCACAGCCTCCCAGGCGGCAGGGTCGTGCTTGAAGAGGGAGTTGGTGAGCTCCACAGACACACGCTTACGGTAATCTGGGTTCTTGTCCTCGGAGATGCGGAACAGGACAGCAGCGGCGTAGGTGGCTGAACAGAGGGAAGAAGACAGGCCAAGTCAGGCCCCTGCCTCCACCCAGACTGGGGGAACAACATCCAGCCTCTCCCCTCATCGCCCCCCCAGCCCCAGCCTAGACCCTCACCGGTGCCCTCGTTGCGGGAGTGCAGGAGCTCCATGAGTGGGGCTGAGGCCCCCTCAGCATCAATGGCGTCGGCTGCCTCCTTGTCCTGGGCCAGCTCACACAGCACCCCAGCAGCTACACGCTGGATGTTCTCCACCGAGGAGTACAGGAGCTGGGGAGGGGGGCGCAGGGCCAGTGTAAGGCAGGCCGGCAGCACGCCTCACAGCCCTGCCCACCTCTGCCTCCCTTTTTTGGATTTAACCCAAGTCCACACTAGGAAATGTATAAAGTCTAAGAAAAGTATAAAGAAACAGAAAAGCAGCTACAATCCCCCAGCCAGATACAGCTTGTTAACACACTGGCATACTTCCATTGGATTTTTATCATCACTTTTAAATATATATATATTTACATATATATGTAAATCATATATATATGATTCCCTTTTGGCGGAGGAGGTAATTGAGTTTATTTATTTATTTACTTTTTTAATGGACGTACTCGGGACTGAACCCAGGATCTCGAGCCTGCTAAGCACGCTCTACCACTAAGCTATACCCTCCCCCTGTAGTACAGGAGAGCAGATCTGACTCTGTTGTATCTGTTCTTTTAGCTCTAACCAGTGTGCCGTTTTCTAGGTTTATTCTTGCTAGCTCTGCACTCTTTGTAAAACATTGTTGCCTTTAGCCTGTCTGGTAAACAGGAGAGCCTTTTCTCAAGGCTCTGACCTTTAAGGACATTAACACTTCTGCACTTACATAAAGACAAGCTGCAGAATAGAACCTAACTTTTGTTTTGTTGAAGGTTTACACGGAAAGGTTTACACGGACACCATGACCTGACCCACGTGGACAGCTGCAAGAACAAAGAATTCCTGCAGCAAGAAGTTTGTAACAACCAACCACACCCCCTCCCGTTTTTTTGTGTAAAAGGAGCCTGTATTCTGACTGGAGCAGGATGGTTCTCCAAGACGTTAGTCTGCCATCCTCTTGGTCTGCCCGCTTTCTGAATAAAGTCACTATTTCTTGCCCCAACACCTCATCTCCCGATTTTTTGGCCTGTCATGCAGCCAGCAGAACAGTTTGGACTTGGCAACATCCCCGACAGATTCCTGTTTGTTTTTTTAAATCAAATATTGTAGCAGAATGCTTTTTCCCATATAATTCAATAGCTGTTCTTAAAAACCTGAGTTCATATTGATATTCAGGAGAGAAAGAGGCAAGGTAGATAGGCAGGGGATTGAGAGGTACAAACTACTAGATATAAAATAAATAAGCTACAAGGGTATATTGTACAACACAGAGAATATACCCCAATATTTTATAGTAACTATAAGTGGAGCTAATCTTTAAAATTATGAATCACTATGTTGTACACCTGAAATTTACATAATATTGTACATTAACTGTATCAATAGAAAAAAAAGGAAGGAAGGAAGAGAATGCTACAAAGCAAACAAAAACAAAAATTAAAAATCCTCATCGATCACAATTGGAGGTAGTTACCGGTACCAATTCCTTGCTTGGAACATTAAAAATTAAAGGATTAAAAAAAATTTAAAGGAAAAAAATTTCAAAGACAAAAAAAATTCTTCAACACCATTGTCTATGACCTCATGATATAATGGACCTTTTTTTTTAAGTTTTAGATTTTTACTTTCAGTTTTTTGGTTTTTGTTTCCCCTTAACAGAGGCATTGAGAATTTTACCCAGGACCTCGTGCACGCCAGCACATGCTCTGCCACTGAGCTATACCCACCAAACCCCTCAGTCCATCCTCAATTCTAAGTAAGGTTGCAATTGTCAGCGGTGTGCATACATCTATATCATATTTAAATCACATCATGTTGGGGAAGGTATAGCTCAGTGGTAGTGCATGCCTTGCATACACAAGGTCCTGGGTTCAATCCCCAGTACCTCCATTAAAAACAAGTAGATAAAAACCTAATTACCTCCCCCGCCAAAAATAAATAAAAACAATTTTTCTTAAAAAAATCACATCATGTTATTTCAAAAAGAGCAAGTCCCAGACCTGTACTACTTGATCAAAGGAGACCAACATTTTCAAGGCTCTCTATACATACTGTGAAATTGCTTTCTGGAGAGGTTTTACTACCTCATCTTCTCCTAGTGGGGTATGAAACAGCCCATTTTATAGCATCTTCACCACCACAAAGTACTCCCATTTTTTTCTCCGCCAATTTGGTAGTGGAAACTGGGCTCTCACTGTGCGGTAAGCTTCATTCCTTTAAACTCCCAGGGCTGAGCATTGCTTGTTCATGAGCCACCGGGGAATTGCATGTCCTCCTCCTATTACACGACTAGGGTCTACTATTACCGAGCTCTCTTATATGAAAAATACCAAATTCTTGTCTGCTCTGATGCTTGCAAATATTCTCCCAGTTTGCTGTTTACTTTTTAATGCTTTCAGGTTGTCTAATATTAAAACATCATTCTTGTTTTTATTTGTGGCCTCCTTTGCCTTTGAGCTTGGAAAGGCTTTCCCATGCTAGGATTTGTTAAGTGGTCACTCTTGGTGTGGCCACTTTTCTCCAAACTCCTCCAAAGACTCTTGATGCCTAGCCAAGATGCCCTCAAACCCAAGGCTACCAACCTTCCCCTTCCAGTAGTGGGGATAAGCAGGGGTTGGGGGGAACCTCTCCTGCCCAACTGCCCCAGACTCACCTGCACAAACAGGGGGATGGTGTTAAGTCGGAAGATCTCCATGCGGTTCATGGGATCCCGGGCAAGGATGTGCAGGGCTCCAGTGCAGCCCTCCACGATCTCCTCCATCCTCACGCCATCCTGCACAAGAGAAGGCACTGGGGTATAGCAGCAGTGGCTCTTAGGCGTGGACACACACACACCATGACACTAGCAACTCTCTCTGGTCCTTGGAGTTGGTGTCAATTGCAACTTGCCTCCCAAGATGCTCACATGTGCACACATTCACAGAAGACACCCTGACTCCTGGGGGGGTGGCAGTCCCAGGCCCCACCAGCTCACTCACCGTGTAGGGCTGCTGGGTGCCTGCAGCCACGTGGCGCTGGGCATCCTGGTGGGCCTTGACCAGCAGCTGGACAAGGCGGGGAATGACCGCGGCCTCCTGCAGTGGGGCATGGTTGGCTGGGCACAGGGCCAGATTCCGGATCAGGCCGATGGTTGCCTGGCAAGAAAACGGACACCCATTCAGGGCATTTCCTGGGCATCTGGAAGACCCCACTTCCCCAGCATCATCTCTTCCCTCTCATCTCGGTTCCCCTGGGCCAGCCACGGACATGCTGGAAGAACTCCAGAAAATGAGACCACCCCTAGCCATGCCCCTTACTCCATAGAATCTATGGGTCCTCATGTCTGACTCTAACAGTCCCTCCTAAGATGATACCCCATTCCAGAATATTCCACCAGCCCCTACGCCCTGGCCCTAACCCCTGTCCCTTCTCTCTTAACCACCCCCTCTCTCCAACAGACAACACTACTTGCTTTTCTGACAGTTCTGATTATCAGGGAGTCCTCACTAGGGGTGACCCCAAAGCCTCTTGCTTTGGTGATGTTCATACTGTAATCAATCCCGGGTAGGGCAGCTCTGGGAAGAGGTCTTCTTCCCAGGTCCCCCAACTCCCAAGTCATTCTGGCCTCCTAAGTTTCCTCAGGGTCTAATAAAGCAATTTATTATCTCATTTGATCCTAAAAACAAGAAGCCAGGAGGGCAGGGATGAAAAGCATAGGAGAGAGGACGTCGTGAACACAGGGTGGATGATCTGCCAAGGTCACTTGTCAACTTAGCTGCTGAAACAGGAGGCAAACCCCACCCCCACCCCCTGCCTCAAGCTTGCCTTGACCAAGCCCATGGAGGGGCCACCTGCTGCCCTGTCTCTAAAATAAAAAATATATAATCACTTAGCATCATTCTTATCTGCACTGTTTAGTTGTTGAAAATTACAGCAGTAAGCCCCTGCCAGCTGGCTCCAGACCCTAGTCTGTGGTAGCCCCTCCTTGAAGCTCTACTCTCGGGGATGGCCCAGCTGTAAGACAGAAAGATTCTGGATGTCAGAGCCATTGTGAAGGTCTAAACCGTTACATAAGAGCGGGATGAGCTTTTGCCTTATTGGAGCCACTGTATTTCAGGCCTCTTTGTTACAACAGCTTTGCCTGTACCGATACAGCGCTTACTCCTGTCTTCAGAGCTCCTTCCCTCCCCTGACCCCACCATGCAGCAGGCGGCACCTTGACCAGTGGCCACTGGTTGGGCTGGTTAAGCAGCTTCACAATGGCTGGGATGCCGTAGTTGAGGCGCACAGAGTTCTGGGCCATCTCCGCCTCGGGGTGGCGGCTGGTGAGGTGGCGCAGGGCACAGACAGCGGGCTCTGTGATGTCGTCCTTGTCGCCCGCGCGCAGGATGGCATGGATGAGCGCCTCCACGCCGCTGTTCTGCGTCACCAGCGTCTTGTTCTTGCTGTTGTTACACGTCAGGTTGGACAGAGTACCCGTGGCACAGGTGAGGACGTTGACGTCGTCCACGCTCAGCTGGTTCACCAGGATCTTCAGCACGCTCTCCAGGCCCTCCTGGGGTCGGGGGAGGCAGTGGAGAGTGAAGGAGACTCCCCAGAGCAGGGTCTTCCCAATATATCCGAGAGGAGGAGGACAGCCTAAGGGGGTCTCCAGCACACTTAGCTGATGATGCACCCTGCCGGTGTGTGCCCTCTAACTTTCACCTCCGTGATCCCACCGACACCCCATGAGAGGGTAATTCTAACCCGTGGGGCAGCTGGGGATCAGAGAAGTTGAGGGCCTTGCCCACAGACACACAGCTAGTGAGCTGGATATGAACCCAAGCCCATCTCTAAGCTCCATGCTCTTTCCTCCACCCTCTCCTGCCCCTGCTCTGGGTCCACAGATACAACAGAGCTCTACGCAGGCCAAGGGAGGCCCCTAAGCCAGAAGGAAACTGTTGAGGAGGCCATGTGCTTCGGTAACAGGCCCAGCTGACCTACTTTTACACACTTCTCACCTTCCTAGGCCTTCACTGCTGCCCACTCAGTGGTCCCCAGGCCAAATCTGCTTTCAGGAAACATCCCTAACCCAGAAGTCGCCCTTCTCCCAGGGAGAGTCACGTGGACCTTGTGGTAGAACAGAAAAACCCCAGGCTCTGGGGGGCAGACATTTCTGGGTTCAAATCCCAGCTCTGCCATTGACTGGCTGTGACCAAGGGCCATTCCTTAACTCCCAGAGCCTGTTTCTTCATCTAACAATGGACCCCACACTCTCCCTCTGGGTATCGAAAGGGGTAAAGAGCCAGTGTCCCCAAGTGCCTGGCAGAGTCCAGCACATGGTGTTTGATAAGCAGCCCACTGATGCAGTTCTTAGGAGTGACAGTCAGGGTGCAAGAGAGGACCAGAAGACCTGTCCTAAAACTGCATTTCTCCCTCAGTTGTTTTTAGCCATCGGGGCCCCCAAGCTGTCTCTCGCACACTGCTACTCCCTGCCCATGGTCTAGATCACAACAGTTCCTCTGGTACCATCTGAACCCCGGCTTAGAAACATCAGCCTCCTCCTCCTAGTCCCCTTCTTGAATCCCTAAGAGAGGTTAGAGCCTTAGGTGAAAGGGATGAGGGGCTTGAGGGCACTTCCAGCCTCAACCACAGTGGAGCCAGATTTAGAGGCCTCAAGCCTCACAGGGCTCCTTAAGGTCAGACTCCCAGACAGGAGGCTGGCCGTGCTAAGACGGGAGGCCAAGGCAGCTGAGGAAGCAGACCCAGGCCCAACCCGTCGCTCACCTGCTTGGTGGCCACATCCGAGAGGTTGCGCAGGGTCCAGAGGCAGTTCTGCACCAGGCGGGGGCTGTTGCTGGTCAGGTGTTTACCCAGGGCCTGCATCCCACCTGGGGTGGGAGATAGGGAGCACGTCAGCCATAGGGGAGCACAGTGGATGGAGCCCAGCCACTAGTTAGGGCCCCTATCCTTGCCCACCCAGCCACATGGGCCATCCTCACGGGCCATAGTACTCACCAGCCTCCACAATGGCGGGCTTATTGCTGGAACACACAGACAGCACCTTGAGCACACGGCTGGTGGTCCAGAGCAGCTTCTCATAACTGTAGTTGCGCATGATCTGCACGAGGGCCTGGGGTCCTCCATTGGCCAGGATGATGAGCTGTGGGGGGAGAGGGGAGGGAATGTGAGACAGATGAAAAATACGACGAGGAACAAAGAGAGAGAGGGAGGTGACAGAGCTGTTTTCACTGAGCTTCATCTAAAATCTGAATAGCTTTTGTGATGATTAAATAAGCCAAAATGTTGGAGAAAATGATAATATACAGTGCTGGCAAAGATGAGGTGAAACTACTAATAGATATCACCACTGATAGCATTGTAAACAATGCTATCCTTTTGGAAAGTATCTGGCAATATGGGAAAATGCTTAGACATATTAAAAACCCTTAGCCCCACAGATGATAAAAGTGTTCTCACTCTTTGGGAAAAGCTGTGTCCCCAAAGATGTTCATCACAAGTGGATATTCATAAAGATGTTCATAAAGATGGAAAATTGGGATCAACATAGATGCCCTCCGTCAGAATACAGTCCAGGTCCTCCACTTAATGAAATGTGATTTGCCATTATAGAGGGTGATTCTGAGGACAGTTGAGCCAACAAAAAAAAAAGCTTTTAAAAATATCATGTAGAAAACAGACACAAACTGCTCTGACTACAACTATGTACCAATATGTCCACAGGAAAGCACTGGAGGAAGCACGTGAAGATAACAGGGGTTATGTGAGAAGAATGAATGTCTTCTTTCGCTTATCCTCAAAATATTCAGTAATATGATGAAACACGTACACCTGCATATACATATGCAGTTAACCAAAAAAGGGTTAAGGAGGCAGTGGCTGGAAGCTGCAGCTGGACGGAAGGTGATGCCACAGGAGTGGCGGTCCTGGTTGGGGGCCCACCTTGCTCTCCTGGTTGCCATAGGCCAGGAGCTGCAGGCAGTCGGTGGTGATGGCCAGGAACTTGGGGTTGTTCTTGTTGAGCAGGGGCACCATCTTTTGCAGCCCATCCGCCAGGCGCACCGCCATCTTGGCGCCCTCCTGGTAGAGCAGCAGGTTGTGCAGCGTGGTGATGGCGTAGAACAGGACAGACTCCACGGGGGAGCTGGGATGGGAGCAGGGGGTTTTTGTCAGTCAGGTCCTGGATGGATGTAGGCTACCTCCCCCAGTACCGACACGCTTATGGAAATAACCGTCTGCTAGTATCTCATCATCCTTTGAGTCTAGCCTCATCTTTTTTTTTTAAAGGAAATAGCTTTATATCTTAGCACCTGTAACAAACAAACAAACAAACAAAAAAACCCAAAACAAAAAAATATCACCCAAGGAAATAGGTCCAGGAATGTGGTTTTAGAAGCTCCCTTTGGAGAATGTGTGAACAGAGGATATAATACAGGCCGTTCAGTAAAAAGACCTTCATTCAAGTCCTAGCCAAGTCCCTTCTTCACTGGATGCCCTCAGGTGATTCATTTGACCTCTCTTGGTCTCATTCAGTTTTTGTTTTTATTCACTTCAAAACCCAGAATTTTATAACTGGCATAAACATTTCCATTACACCAAAAACAACAAAATACCTAGAAATAAACTTACTTAACCAAGGAGGTTACCTATACTCTGAAAACTGTAAAACACTGATGAAGGAAACTGAAGAGGATACAAATGGAAAGATACCTTGAGTTCTTGGATTGGAAGAATCAACATTATCAAAATACTAGCCTCACTCTTACATACAGAGCAAACAGCATCTCTCCTCTCTCCACTGGGACCATGGCTCCTGCTCTGGGCTCCCGGCTCAGTGCTAAGCTCACAGTTAAGTCTTCATGACACCTGTCCCAACTGAGTAACTGTCACGTGGAAGGCCTCGTCCTAGAGAGGCATTACAAGGGATTCATAGAAGAGTGGAGTCAGTATCTCCACCCTCAGGGAACTGGTATGTGAGCAGATGGGCCATGCTGACTGCCACTGTGAGAAGGGCGGGCCAGGAGACCCCTCCACGATGCTCAGACACACCCAGGTCAGCCTGGTATGGAGATAAGGAAAAAGGCAACATTGCCAGGCTGGGAAAGATAAAGGTGGCAAGGGACTTTGCACAGGATACTCCCTCTGCCTGGAATACTCTTCCCTTCATCTACACCAGCCAAACTCCATCCAACTGCCAATCCCCTGACATTAAAGTCAACAGCTTCTTATAGCTCCTCTGACCGATCTTGGACACACCTTTGCCCTAGTCTATACTGTATCCTAATAACTAACTTGCGAGTTACATGTCTGTCTCCCCTGCTAGGCTGTGAGCAGCTGAGCACCAGGACTGGGCATGGCTCTATACCTGGCACGTAGTAGGTGCCCAGGGAAGAGAGGGGAAGAAGTCCAAGTGAGGGAAGCAGTAATACCAAAAAGCATGACACTCATTTATATGTGTGTCTGGGTACTTCTGTAGGCACGGGCATAAAACAAAATGTTCATTGCATGACCTATTGGTGAAAAATAACCTGACTGTGTATTTTTCTATTTTCTCTAATGAATCCTTTTAAAATAAAAATAAGCCTTTTCACGTATTAGAATTAAAACAATGTTCCAATTAAAATTGGGAAGGCTGTCTTATTTGTTTACAATCCACTTCAGCTTCTGTAAAACCAGTTCTTTTGGAAACCAAATAGAGGTCCCCATTTGGATGCAAAATAAGACCACCCAGATGCAAGACAGATGAAATCAAATTTAGATCGACCCTTTGATTCTTATAAATTTTATCAGAATGCTTTGGCCCAAATAGCTGGGACTCATCTGAGACATTTGGAATGATTTCTGCACTGGGGAAGCGTAGACGCCAAGAGGGGAAACTTGCGCCCACAGTGAGATGGGGTGGGTACCTGAGCATGCGGACCAGGGCAGGGATGCCGCCTGACTTGAAGATGGCAAGGAGCCCCTCACGGTGATGGGAGAGGTTGTGCAGGATGCTGGTGGTGCAGCGGGCCGTGTCCAAGTCACTGGTGTTCTGCATGGTGCGCACGACAGCCGCCACCAGCTGGGGTGAGCCCATCAGCGCCCGCCGAGACGCCTCCTTCTTTGACAGCTGGTTCACAATCATGGCCGCCTTGGTCACCACTACCTGGGGACAGCGGGGAGGAGGGGAGGATGTGAGCAGATGGGCCAGGCTGACTGCCACTGAGAGGGAAGGGCCAGAAGACCCCTCCACAACATTCAGACACACCCAGGCCAGACTCTTCCTGCTAATGGGGCTCTGGGTCAATGACCTCGCTCCACCCCAGGTAGGGCCCTCTCCTACAGACATCTGATGTCTCCCCTCCCTGCCACGCCTGTACCCCAGCCAGGCCCCTCACAGACCGGGTCCTCATCATTGAGCAGTTTGGTGAGCTCAGGCAGGGCCCGGGTGGCCAGCTCAGCGTCGTCCTGGTAGTTGATGAGATGTACAATGGCTGACTTGAGCAGCTGGGATGGCTCGGCCAGCCGCTGCAGGTTGGTGGTCTGCCCCTCCACCTGAGTGGCCAGCAGCAGCGAGCTGTCTTCTCCTGTCACGCCAGGACACATGGCCTCCCGCACCCGCTTAGCTCTGGCCGTTGTGGACATCTGGTACTCCAAGTCACCTGGGGGCCAACAGGCAGGGACTAAGCTGCAGGAAGTGGGCAGGGGGACACTGGGGAGCAGGGCAGGCTGGGCAGACTGTTCCCCTGGGTTCTCTGGCTGCCTCTAGCCCACCACTCACAGTTCTGCTTCTAACTAGTGATCTTAAAGAGGTCACATCGCCTCAGTTACATCATCTGTAAAATGGGGCACCAACTGTTCTGTCCACTGCAGGGAATTCTTATGAGAATTAAACGAGACAACAGTTGTAAATTGCTCTTAGAGGACATGATGCATGTACTTGGACATATCACTATAAGCAGATTATTGTATGTCAACTATACCTCAATAAAGCTGTTGGGTTTTGGTTTTTTTTTTGGAATTAAGCTGTTTTTTTAAAGCAGAAAAAAATGTCAGTGATTATCATTATTAGTAGGAAGAGCTAACTTTGTAAAATTTAATTTTATCTTTTTAACTGAAATATAGTTGACTTACAATGTTTCAGGTGTACAACAAAGGGATCCAGTTATGCATTTATATATAAATCTATTCTTTTTCTGATTCTTTTCCATCATAGGTTATTATAAGATATTGAATATAATTCTCTGCGCTATATGGTAGGCCCTTGTTGGTTATCTATTTTATATATGTTAATCCCAAACTCCTAGTTTATTCCTCCCCCACCTTAGCTAACATTTTTTTCAGGCACACCTCGGAGATACTGTGGATTCAGTTCCAGACCACTGCAATGAAGTAAATATCACAATAAAGTCACACAAACTTTTTGGTTTCCTAGTACATGTGAAAGTTATGTTTACACTATATGCAGTGTATGAGGTGTGCAATAGCATTATGTCTAATAAACAACAAGGACCTACTGTAGAGCACAGGAAACTATGTCCGGTATCTCGTAATTACCTATAATGGAAAAGAATCTGAAAAAGAATAAATGTGCGTATATAAATATATAGTAGATATATATTACATACATATGACTGAATCGCTTTACTGTACACCTGAAAACAACATTGTAAATCAACTATACATTATCAAAATAAAAAAATGAATGTTAAAATGAAAAAAGTACATATCTTAATTTTAAAATATTTTATTGTTAAAAACTGCTAACCATTATCTGAGTCTTCAGCAAGACACAGCAGTAATATCAATGGTCCATGATCACAGATCATAAGAAATATAATAATCATGAAAAAGTTTGAAAAATTACAAGAATTACCAAAATGTGACACAGAGACACAAAGTGAACAAATGTGGTCGGAAAAATGGCACCGATAGATTTGCTCCACACAGGGCTGCCACAAACCTTCAATTTGTAAAAAACGCATTATCTGCAAAGTATAATCAAGTGAAGTGCAATAAAATGAGGTGTGCCTATACTACTATGTGCCAAGAGTGAATTAAGTGCTTTCCTTACATGTTCTCATTTAATCTTACAACAACCCTACAAAGTAAGACTATTATTATCTCCACTTTACAGATGGGAAAACTGAGACACAGAGAGGTTATAAGAACCCAACCTGGGATCTGAACTCAGACAGCCCGACTCCATAGCCCAACCCCGACTCTGTGTCTCTCCCTTAACAATCAGGTAGAGACAACCTAGGTCTCTTTTCAACCCTGAAATCTCATGATTCTAATTATACCCTCATCCTCCCCAACAGAGGCAACTCTCCCATTACATGGGCAGGCAAATGGAGGCCCAGAGGGTCACCTAGTAGTATTCAGCAGATCAGAGGGAAAGTCAGGACTGCGGGTTTCAGAAAGCAGGAGGTGGGTTCTCAGCTCAGACTCCAGGCTCCACCCTCTGGTGGATCTGAGAGTCCCACAAACAAATGCCCCGCGAGTGTCCCAATGGCCCGGGGAGAGGGAGGCAGAGGTCCTATCCTCCAGTTAGTCGGGAAGGAGGGGACATCCACACGGCTTTCCCATCTGGATGCTGTACTTCAGCTACCAACACAATGCCTGGCCCTGCAAAGCCGAGCGGCCTCTGCCTGCTGCCAGGGAGCAGCTCCCCGGGAGCAGAGGCCGAACTCCACAGTGGCCCAGGCCACCACACCCTACCCTGCACCCTACCCTGCACCCTTCCCAGCTCCCACGGCTCACCACACTGCAACACTCAGGGCCCAGGAGGCACCTGCAGACAGCAGCTAGGACTGGATACTCCTCTCCCCCAGAGAGGTGGGTGCCCTGGGCTGGCTGGCATCCCCACCCCTGACTAAGCTCCATGCCTGACTAAGCGGTCACTCCACCACCCTGCCTTGGCCTATTTGCATATTGGGATATGCCAGCCTGGTCTCCTCCCCGCCCCCCACAAGGAGCCCTCAGGCTTGAGAACTGCACCTCCTCTACCAGACCTAGGATTCCCTGAGGGCTGGAGGTCTGCCTGCCCTTCAAACTCCTCCTGGACCAAAAGGACTGTGTCTCCCCCAGAGTCCATGGGCTCCCTGAGGGCAGCAGTGATGCCCCCGTATCACAAAGTTCATGGAAAGCAAGGACAGTGCGTCTACCTTCAGACCGGAGGGCAGGGTCTATGCCTCCCCTCCATTCAAGATGTTCATGGAAGTGTAATCTGCCTCCCTCCCAGATGGGGGCGCCCGGAAGTAGCTGTGCCTCCTCCCTCAGACTCGTGAGTGTAAGAACAGGAACTGTGCCTCCCTCCTCAGACTGGGGGCCCCTTAAAGTCTGTCTCTTTTGACCCTGACTCCCTCCAGGGCCCAGCCTGGTTTTCTGCTGGAATATTCCCACAGAAGAGCCCCCAGGCCTGACCTTGGCTCTGGGGCACCGCCTGGGTGTAGGTGGTGGTCTTCTTGAGCGTGTACTGGCGCCCGCAGGCCTCGTCCTCCTCCATGATGCCCTTGCTGCTGACCGAGGGCACGCAGGTGTTGGCCCCCGAGTGGATGCCCGAGTCATAGGTGTACGTCTGTTGCCACTCAGTCACCTTGATGGGTTGTTCAATCAGGTTCATCACCTCCATGGTGGCTGCTGGGGACACAAAAGAGAGGCAGGAAATTAGCTGGCCCTGGTGGAGCATCCCATCACCTGGCGCAGTCCCCATTTTCAGCCTCTCCCCCCACCCTGTCCATTGCCCCTTACCCCACCACAGTCCCAAGGGCCCCAGTGGGCTGTGGAGAAGGTGGGGTGGGAGGCAGAAAGGACCAATCCCAGGGAGGGACTGCCCAGGATGGGATGCCTGTGTGAGTCCTGGGCTTGGATCTCTGACCTCCAGCCCAGAGTGGGGCGAACCCCGGGGGGAGAGCAGCAGTGAAGGAGCAGATGCCCCAACCCAGCCCTGGGCCCCCTCTCCTGGCTGCCCCTGCCCAACACCCCCAGAGCAGGAGAAGGCACTCAGGGTCTCCAGTAGCTTCTGGGGTCTCACAGACCCACCCCCATCCACTGGGGCCCCTTGGGAAAGGCTGCGGAGGTGAGGCAGCTACACCCCAGGCGCTGGGCAGGAAACCCAGTGGGGCAGGGAAGCAGTCAGACAGGTTTCCCCAGGGGCCCCAGGCTCCCTTAGAGACTCCAGGATCTCACTTTCCTGCAGATAGGGCAGGATCCCAAGTGATCTCAGAGGACCAGGCCCTGAGACCACCATCTCTCCAGCACCCCAGCTCCTGGAAGCCTTTCCCAGAATTCTGAGTCCCACTGACTAGGTCCAATCTCAAGACACATGCTACTGGGCAATTTCACTGCTTTGCTGAACCTCCATCCTCATCTGTAAAACCTGGATTGGGGAGGGGATGGGAGGCCTACTGGCTTTGTAAAGGGCCCACGGTGCCTGGCACATAGTAGGTGTATACTGTTGATGGCCTTGGCCAAGTATCAGTAGTGCCTATCCCTAGGGTGCTTTCTCACCTCCTGGCCTCCTCGGGTGGGGCGGACCTCGGGTGATCACTGCTATTCAGAGACATGGAGGCACTTGAGGTTAATGAATAGCTGGGCCCGACTCTGTCCCAGGGAGGTGAATTCCCACTCGCTCTGTCCAGCTCCCCTGTGTTGGGAGCTGACCTCCAGAGTCTAGCAGCTGGGAGGAGAGGCAAGGGAAGCTGTCCCCAGTGAGGGCCTACCTGTCAGATCTTTCCCTCACAAGCGGTTTCAAAGCACCTGCTGTTCCCCATTTACAGATGGGGAAACTGAGGCTCCACCCAGCAAGGAGGCATAGCAGAGAAATGCAGAGCCGGGACTAGGCCAAGGCATGAGTGACACCCGAGTCTGGCCTGTGAACACCCAGCGTGGCCTCAGAGAGCAGACAGACCCCAGGCTGGTCCACCCATGAGGCTGAGCAGCAGCACCTTGCACCTCAAACCCAGTGTCCTATCGCCCTGGGAGATAGAGTGAGGATGAGGCCAGAGTGGTAGGTGAGTCTAGCCCCACCCCAGGAACAAAGATCACCAGGGATCTGTCTTCTGGGAGGGCCCAGTGCCAACCTCCAAGAGGATGATGAATGACCCTTCAGGTCTCCCTGCCTTTTATGGCAACACCGGCTCCTCCCTGGCCTGTGAGCACACCTGGAGCAGGCAGAGGCAGGAGCCAGACCAGCTCCCAGCAGTCTCCTTCCTCTCCTCCCATCAACCAGAGTGACTCAGAGTTTCAGGCTGATAAAACAGAAGCAGGCTCAGTGCCACCAGATGTGCCCAGCTGCTTTCCAGGCACTGGCCAAGTGTGGTTATTTTGGGGGAGCCCCCACCCCCGCCTTAACCACACACTGCCCAGCATGCCTGCGTTTCCTGGAGAGAGGGAGACAGAGAATGCAAGAGAATTTGGGAGGAGAAAGCCAGTCACAGAGCAGCCCCCAGGGAGGAGAAAATTCAGGCAGGAGGCCTTGGACATGCAAGCACTGGAGGAGAAAGATGAAACCATCAGTATATACAGTTGCACTAACCCTGTAAATGCCACTGTGAGGCAGAGGGCTGAGCTGACATCTCCAACATCTGGGTGCTGAGCCAACATCTGGCCGCGAGCCTCAGTCAGACCCACTCAGGACAAACTGTACATCTCCAGCCTTATCAGTAAAAACACCTCATCCAAGCCAGAAAAAGCCACTCCCCAAGTAGAGACTGCAATCTACCCCTGGCGCTTCTCAGCCAGAAGGGTGTGGGCCTTGCCTGGAACCTCACCATGTCCAAAGGGACCACCGAGGTCAAGGCTGGCCATAGGAGGGGCATCTCCTCTGCAGGCCCCTCACCAACCCGCCAGCCTAGGCCTGGAGCCAAGAGAAGCTGAGGGCTGGACAGCTGCCCAGGGCCAGACAGAGGCCTCACGGAGGTCAAAGGATCCACAGCGGAGCGGGTGGGGGACAGTCGCCTTAACTATCTAATGAGTCTCATGCTTCCCTCGAAGCAATGTGGACTGGCATTTTATTATTCCCAGTTTCTAGGTGAGGAAGCAGGCTCCACGTGGAAAAACTGGCGCTGTTAAAATCCAGGTCCGCCTCAGGGCAGACCAGCCTCCAGCTGACCAGGCAGGGCTGCTGCCCTGGGGTCAAGGAGAGTCCACCAGATATCCTGCTGCAGAAGGGAGTGAGGGGCAAGGGGCAGCTGCTCTGAAGTCAGGAGTCCTGAGTTCCAGTCCCAGCTCCGCCACAAACTTCCTGGGTATCCTTGGGTGACAACTTTCCCTCCCTGTGCTTTGTCTACAGAAAGGATGGCCCAGGTGATCTCAGAGGCACGTTGACATTGAAGCTTCTAGGAATAAGGAATCAGAATTCCCATGACAGACAAGAGGCGGTTGAGGGTGGACAAGGTTAGAGGTGGAAAGAATTTCAGAGAGGATACACTCCAAAGCTCTTCTGGAAGAAAGGATGGTGGAGGGAGCTGATCCTGCCACAGAAAAGCTCTAAGTCAGATCTCATGCAGGAGTGTCAACCAGCCCCACCTTTCTCCTCACCTACTCCCCAAGAGAACTAGGGGAATTCTCCCATAGTAACAAAAGTGCTGTTTTTACAGTTCCCAGGGTGGAGGGCGCCGCACCCAGTTTGGTCTCGTCCCTCTACACCCTGGACTGGGAGCAAGACCCGCCACAATGCCCCTGGACAGAGCCAGGGCAGAAGGAGGCAAGACAGACACGGGCCCTGCCCATGCACCCGGCTGGAGACGGGCACAGCCAGACACAGGACACAGGGCGGTGCTCTGAGTTGAATGGGGGTACTTTGTTTAGCAGCATGCTCTATTGTTGGCAACACAGGAGGAAGAAGCCAGCTCAGAGATCACAGGGTGGGGTGAAGGACCTCACAAGGGACAGGAAGAGAGAAGACAGGGGCCCTGGAGAGGGTGTTCGAAGGACCCCTCCCCCACCAGTCCACACTGGCCAGCAATCTGCAAGCAAGCCATAAGGCTGCTTTGGGGCGGACCCTGCCCCGCACTCCTGGTTCCTCCTCTGCATGGCCCACCCAGCAGGATGGCACTGGGCACTCTAAATCCAAGACTGTCCTGGCAGACTGTGACCCAGCCGTGACATTAAAAAGAACTCCCACCAGAACTACATCAGGCTCTGGCCCCCGCCCGGACCCACCAGCAGTGACGGGCACAGCTGGGCTGGGCTGCAGGATGCCAAGTGTCAGTAAGACAGCTAGAAACTAGGACAGGAATGGGCTGCCCAAGAGGCTTGCTGGGACCAGGCTCAGAAACATTGCATTAGAGGACAAGAAGGGCAGAGGGAGGGCCCTCCAGAAGTTCCTTGGGCCAGAGGCCAGCACCCTGTACAGACTCGGGATCATGCGCTCAGACAATGACAGAGGAAGGGGGCTGTGGGCAGGGCAGAGGAGTGTGGGGGTCAGGGGAGAGTCTCCATCCAGCCCCACCACTCAGTGACCGTGTGCCCTTGGTTAAGTCACGTGATTGCCTTAAACCTCATCTGTAAGGTGGAGACGATCAAGACACTCCTTTTTTTAGGCTGTTGTGTGAGTTGCACACAACTGTGACTGTGGAAGGTTCCTGTCAACAGTCAAGGCCCAGGCGAGTGCTCTTCTGTTAGAGAAGCAAAGAGGCAGAGGAGGCGGCCAGCAGAGATCGGCCTGGAGAGGTGGCCAGCAGCCAGCCTGCTTTTTGGGACCCAGTACCTAGGCCAAGACCCAGCCTTCCTTTCCCTGACCCTCTCCAATGAGGGCTAGGAGGGGAGCTGCCTCCTGGCCCTAGGCCAGAGCCCCTGGGGCAGGGTGGGGATGTGGTTGGGGAGGACCAGTTATGTCCAGGTCCTGGGAGGAGAGGCCAGGTGGAGATACTGCACTGCCCCTCTCCCTGGTCACGTGAGCTGCCTTTTGCAGCCAAGGGGCGGGCAGGCCAGTCGGGCCTGGACATTCCCCACATAGCAGCCCCATGGGAGAGGCTGGGCTCAGCCAGTCACCAGCCCCAACCCTTCCCTACTCTGTCTCTGACTCCAGCAGAGATTTGGCCAGCAGTCCCAAGCACAGATGGACAGACTCTAGAGAAGTACAGAAACAGACATGACTGCTTCCCTTGAGAGCCATGTCTCCCCCATCAGGCTGGGACTTCCCAGCTAGGCCTCTCCCCTCAGACTGGTGGCTCTAGGACAAAACCCCCTGCAGGCTAGAGGTTCCTTGCCAGAGACTGTGGTCTCCCCCATCAGACTGGTCATTCCGAAAGGGCAGAGACTGAAGTGGGCGCCATGCATGGCCAGGGCCCTGGGGACGGGATAAGACACAAGCCCATCCGGAGCTTCCGGAGGAAACCCCTCACTTCCGGTCTGGAGGACAGCCCCAGCTGGGGCCGGGGACTGGCTGGGGGTGGGGGAGACTCAGGTCAGACCGACCCAGCTGCTATTTGTTTTCCTCCTTCTGGGCTCCTTCCCAAAGCAAACAAACCAGGGTGGGAAAATGAAGGAGACTTGGAGGAGAGGGAAATACCCAGCCAGGTGGCTCGACCCAGGGAAGAGGGCTCCAGCTGGAGCTCCGTTGCCTGCCGGTGACCCTGTGCCGGCAAAAAATCCCAATCTGGCAGATGACCCCAAATTGGAACTCCTAGGAATGG